ATTGTCACAAATGCTTACATTTTTACTGCAAAAGTTATCGCAGTTAAATTAAGTATAAGAATCAGTTTCTGATAGCATATTTACACCATGTCACTAACAGAAACAGTTCGGTACAGCCACATTTTCAATAGTAGAGTACAAATAAGGAAGGTGCACAATAGGTTCTTTTGGCGATTTGCCGAGATCAATATTGAATTTGTTGGGAAAGGTCGATTGGGACGCACTTCGTACGAGCTGTGATCCAGACAGTCATGTTCAAAAGGTGCATGTTCCGTAGAAGCTCCAAGGATTTCCCACCGTGAATAGGGTTCTGAAAAGGAGAAAAGAGAGAGAGAAAGGCAGCAGAGTGGCAAGTGTATATATATAACTAAAGCAATACTTAACCTGTCATGTTGAAGTAGTCAATACAGTGGTAAGTCAAGATAAAATTCATACTGACCACTAAAATTAAAGTAAATTATGGGAATATAAGAATACAACACACAAATGAAGGAGAACAGCAATGAAGAAAGAAGAGTTGTGGAGTGTCAAGTGGATAGAAGAGATGTTGAAGTAAGAAGCTGGATTTATGTACGTTGAAATCGAGATTTCAGTTAAAAGAGTAGAGTTTCTAAAAAGGAAACATTGATGGTGAAAGGTTCTCAGTGTGTAACTGTTTTTTTATTATTGGATGCCGACCTCTAAGTCATGCTGTAAGCGCCTGAGTAAGCATGTTGCGGGTGTCTCGACAGAATAGCGACCTTAGCATAGTTTTGGAAACATGAACCTCGAAAGTAGCAAGCGTATAAGAGCGACTTCAGTGTTACTGATTAGTCGCCTCATCAATCAAAATAGCCGAAAGCAAACAAAATGTTCTGCCCCACAAACATGGGTGGTTTGAAGTCATCGCCCACACCATCAATGTTTGCTGGTCAGTAACTCCACCCTCCCTCCTTTTGTGTTGTTAGGCTCATGTTAAATGTTTAAAAGAAACTATTGAGTTCTACTTGGTGCTCTATGTCTCGCATCCTGTTGAGAAACACTATTTCTGCAAGTTTCTTGTCTGGCTGTTACAACTTATGAACTATTGGTTGGGCATCAATGCAATACAGTTAACAGTTATGGAGAAGTAGTAAGGATTTTCAAACAAGATATAAGCATTTAGAATGTAGTGGGGGAGATGTACTTAACTAGATAAGCAGGAGATATATAGAGTATCACGGTTAAAAGTGGAGCAATAGATAACACTAAGGGATCAAGGTAAGTCAATAACGTGTGACTGAGAACAGTATAACTGGTAATAGGCAATGTGAAACTCACATAGTTGTAAGTGTTGATAAGGTTGCGCCCAGGAAGACAGAGTGCGTTCTAATCAACCAGTTTACAGTTGAACAGTGTCGATCGACCCAGTGAGTAGAGTAACCTGTCTATTTCAAAAAAACTAAAGAGATTTATATTCAATTAGGGAAATTTAATGTTACTTAGGAGGGTAAGAATAACTAAATAAGCCACAGCACTGAGTTCATTTTATTTTAAGTGGATGCATAGCTTATGATACGGAAGCAAGGTGCGAGTGATTTCACGAGTCCAGAAGAGTCAGTGCAAATGAAAGCATCATTAATAATAATAATAATAAATTTATTCTCAAATAACAAACATGTTACAAGAGACATGCCAATTTACAGGCAAGATCAAAATTTTAAGATTAGCAACATATTTCTTTTAAAACGGTATACAGTTACTGAAACATTTCACAAGATTCATTGTATTCCTAAAGATGGAATGTCCAATGCGAATAATTGGCGCAAGTTACGAAGGTTGCGTTACGACAATCATCTTATGGACTGAGAAACGATTCGTGGTAGAGATAGGTTTTCATATAACAAGAATTGATGCGTTAAATGTACAAAGGTCTGGTTGATATTCATCAGCTAATGATTTCACATGTTCTTGGGTAGAGTAACCAAGTCTACTGCAAATATCCAGACTAATATAAGTTGAACAAACTCATGTAACCCACTTGCCATGCCTATTTTTCAGGGAAGCCTATTCCATATGGGTGCATACTTAGAGAGGAAGAAGTTTTCTCTAGTTTTGGTTCTATACTTCTCATGTTTGATCATAGATACTTTATCTCGAAGGGTATGTGTACATGGGCCATGTATAAGGACTAAACTGCAGGAGGAATATGTGAGCTTGTGCAGGAGTTAAAGTAAAGATCAGATTGGACTTAAGCCTTCTTTCCCATAATGGATCAAGCCAGAGCTCAATACATCGGGTTGGATAGTCAATGAGTGAGCTATGATTTAGGACTTTCCGAGTAAAGTTCCTTTGTATTCCTTCAAGCTTCAACATATCAGACAGGCGTATGTATAAGAAAGAGCAGTATTCAGCAATAGGTCTTACGCATGTTTCGTAGAGAATTGTTCTGGATTCTCTATGAAGGAAGTTACGAAAGATGAAACCAAACAATCTTCTCATTTGGGAAACTTTATTGGAGATATGTTCGGAGAAGTTAAAGCTGTGCGAATAATGCACTCCAAGATCAGTTACGGGTGTGAGTTTGGGCAATGCAATCCTGTTGAGAATGAGATCTAATTTGGGAGACGTGTCTCCGAAACACATCCAGCCACATTTCTCAGTATTAAGTTCAAGGTTTCATCGCTTGCACCAGACATCTACAGCATTGAGTTCGTGCTGGATTGTGTGCAACAAGTTTCCTAAGTCATATTTGCTAGTTTGATAAATCACTTTTAGGTCATCCGCATAGAGGTAGGTTTTACCAGTGTTGAAACAACTGCATATGCTGTTGATGTAGATTATGAAAAGTAGTGGACCCACAACACAGCCCTGCACAACACCACTGGTAATTTGTGGAGGTGTAGATGTATGTGAGATGATTTTCGTAATCTGATATCTATCCGTGAGGAACGACCTAATCCATTGAAACAGGTGGCCAGTAATCCCGACGGACTGAAGTCTGTTGATTAAGAGATTGTGAGGTACCTTATCGAAAGCCTTTTTTATATCAAAATACAACACGACTACTAGTTGCTTTTTATCGCGGATGCTGGTAACTTCATTAAAGAAATCTAACAGACATGTGGTACATGACCTAGTTCTAATGAAGCCATGTTGTGAGGGGTCAATGTGACCTTCCCTGAGTAAGTGATCAGATTGTTCATCTTTTGTCACTTTCTCCATCACACGTGATATAATTGGGGTGATATTAACCGGTCTGTAGTTCTAGATTAAGTCTTTCGGTCCAGATATATGTACCGGGACAATATGAGTGAACTTCCATGATTCGGGGTATGTACCAGACTCAAGGGATAAGGTAAAAATTTTAAGCAACAGCGCTGAAAGGTTCGGTCCTGCCATTTTAAAAAGTATGGAATGTATCTCATCCTCACCACAGCTGCCATTGGGTTTGAGGGTTTTAATTGCCGCTTGAATATTGTTAAGATCAAATTTGATGGTACAAACATTATGCATACTGCTACTAAGCAACCTTTGTCAGAGTGAATATCTTCGAATCTACATCCATGAGAATCGTTTCGGTCAATCATAGGCCCTACATAACGACGGTAAGGTTGATTCTGAATAAAGTTTTTACGTGGCCGACGATAGAGTAGTATACATTTGGTGAAATCCTATCTTGCACCCGTCACACTGCATACCATCATACAAGGGAAGGAGGACAATGGTCTGCCGAATTGCTAACTTCTGATGGCTATTCTCAGAAGGGAGATGTTCTAGCAGTAAACCATAAAGCGAGAAAGAATAATGTTACTACAGTGATCATCAAAAGTAGTGAATCCGTAAATTTGTAATTCACGGAACAAAGAGTTAAAAGATTAGCAAATCTAAGACATGACAAAAACAATGGGAAAACGGTGTATATGAATACACGCATACGAACCAAAAAAACTTAAGGTGGTGAAAGATGATGTAGAAAACGTGTTTAGAAGGTACTTTACGAATCCATAGTGTGCTAAAAGCGTGAAAGAATATGTCTTACTTCTGGTTAAATAAGAACAACCGAAATCTATTTTCTCTGCACGTGGAAAAATTCAAATCCGTCTTCTGAATTGTATGGGTGACGTTTGATGCAGTAAATATGCAAACCGTAGTTAATTCACCGCCTCTATCAAAACTTGCCCGGTAATCAAAGTGTAGTCACTGGTATCTCTGCACATGACACTAATCCATCCGTAAATTTATGTTAAAGACGGATTGGCCTTGAAGCCTTTACTTCTAATTCTTATGTTAATTTATGTACTGTCATTAGATATTCGATTAGAAAACGAAGTTAGTCTTCGTTCAGCAGAGCCCATTATGCCAAGTATGAAACGTTGAAATAAGAGCTTGGGATACAAACACTGTAGATCCTAACGAAGTGCGTACATCCTCAGTTTAGAAACACCAAAAATTGGTAAAACCAGTTGTCTGTGGTGCAACAAACACTTTTCAATATCATAACGGTGATAAAGTTATTCCTAAATGCGATACAGAGACAATGAATAACACAAATATATGAATATTTACACAAAATTATGGGACGTCACTTAAATTGTGAGCAGGATGCATGATTAAGTCCTTGCTCATGCAATCCACAATTATAAGAAGAAGCCAATCATACCACATACGATATATATATATATATACATATATATATAAATGCCTAGTACCACTGAATAGTGAGAAGACAGATATGATGCAAAAAAGCACATAACAATCATGCAAGAGGTGCAATTGTTTTTCAACTAATTAAGTTAGAATGAGAAGTATGCGAGCAACTGTGTGTTTTGTGAGCTGCAATTAGCGTGGCATTCATGGCGAGAACGAGTAACAAGGGATCAATAGTAGATTTAAACAACAGTTTTGTGGACAATAATAGTGAATGAAAAGACCGTGAGAAACTCGAATAATAAATGATTATTCACAAAACAAGTTTATGTTAAACATCTAAAAACGTTTTCTCGACACCTACACCAGATAACTCAGATTGATTGCTATCTGTTTATAGGCGGTCAGTTTAGAGTGGTAGTCGTACTTCACTTGTGCTGTCTCAATCCCATTTGTCGAACTGTCTGTGGGTGGAAATTAATTGAAACTACAATTATGTGGCGTTATTATTGATAATTATCTCAAATCTTTTTACATTGTTTGTAAACTTATGGTGAATCGTGACATATTGCTTTTATGTATAAGTTTCCGGTTTAATGATAAAGGCAAAAAGCTTGTAATCACTTCACCCTAGTAGACTTTTTCTCATGTTACTTGCCATATAAAACGATAGGAAGCCCCCTGATTGTAATTTTGATGGACTGTAGGCAAATGCCGTTCAATTTTGACCAAACGTACCTCAGTCAACTTTAAATGGACGTTCAGAGTTTTTACTTATGATCGCATAAAGGCCTATTTGGATTCAGTAAAATCGAGTCTTATGGGTCTTAAGTATCTTATGTGAAAGCGGCTTCTCGATGAAGCTAAGTATTACTGTGTTTAATCACTTCAAATTTCACTCATTCTCGGTATTTGTTTTCTGCTTTTGAAGAGACACTCACCAAGGATTATGTACGTACTCAGGTGAGTAGATAGTGCACCCATTCCTATTGCCTTGTAGACGGACAGTATTTTTTTTCGAGTATATCTATTTTTGCTGGTGTGTCTGACCATCTTCAGCAACGATGCAAGCATATTCCTAATGCAGTTCTGCCCCTCGAAGCGCAAAATTTTGCTTCACGATTGGCTTGAGTCGGCACCCGAACTAGTGACGGGGAGTGAAGCAGTTGAACGTGTTGACCGCTTTACTTATCTTGGGAGCCTCATCAATGCTGATGGCCTGGTGTCTGACGAAATCTCAACACGGATACAGAAGGCTCGATTGGCTTTTGCCAACTTGCGTCACTCGTGTCGCAGGCGAGATATCCGTTCGCTAACCAAAGGATAAGTCTACTGCGCAGTTGTTCTCTCCGTCCTCCTTTATGGCTGTCATACATCGCCAGTAAGAGTAGAGCATATTCTTAGGCTATTAATAATATCATTGTTATTATTAGTCGAAGCATTGCTCGTGTATCCTGTGACAACCGAGTAAGCAATGTTGTTGTTAGGAGACGAGTACTAGGTACGGATAGCAGATCAATAGATGAAGTAGAGAAACTTCATCAGTTGACGTGGTTGGGGCATGTGTTGCGTATGCACAACCACCGACTGCCTCAAAGAGTTATGTTTTATGGTGGTATGTGTAGACTACCTGGTTGGGGCTCGCGATGCGAAAGTCACCGATGGTTAGAGAACTTGAATGACATAGCTTAAAATCGTTTGCATTGGCTCAGGTTCATCCATACTTTGTGTTCCTTCAAATTGTAATCTTCTGAATTCCTCACCACCTTTATCTCTCTTTTTTGAAGTTATTCTAATGTATTATGTATGTGGGCTTGGAATAAAAAGTTACAAGGTCATTATTGTGTAAGATCAAATACACCTTGTGAATAACCTCGGACAGATCTTTAGAAGCAATTTTAACGTTTTTTTTTTTTGAAATTAGACCTCTGATTTAAGGAAGCTTTTAATTTTATTTTAATAAAAAGTTAAGTAATCATTTGAGTTAACATTTAGCAAATCTTTTTATGGCTTCTGACTTATGATCACTGTTAGATTATGAGGACATGTGAGGTTTATCGTCCATTCCCTTCAGAATCTGAAGACAACATCGACCGAAAGGTCAATAATTTTCCGGTCACAAAATCCAGTGTTTTACATGTAGTTATTTCAGAATCAGAGTTGACCGAATTGCCATTACCAACATGTGTATGCGAGCTCTGCGGAATCAAAGTGAAGACGAAGGCTAACTTGCGGGCTCATCAGATTAAAACCCACAAAATCATGAAGGTAGGATATTCGCGTGTGCTAATGTGTATTATTATTTCAGGATGCTAAAGATGTAGCATTTTTTTCGAAGCAAAGGTATGACGTTAGTTATATCTATCATTGTCCTGTGGCCACATGTAAACACAACATTAACTTAGGCGGAGGATTCAGCACCCACTGGAGATTAAAACAGGTTTGCTAAGATTATTGATTAATGTGTTCTTATATCATAGCATTACCAGCATGTTCATATGCAGAAAAGTTACCAGTGTAGCAACTGTAAACATTTTTTCCCTACTCCCTCATATCATGCGTATCACCAAAAGCTCTGTGGAGCAACACATTCTTGTTCAGTTTGTTTCAAGTCTTATTCAAGTAAAAAGCATTTACTTCAGCATTATAGAAGAAGTGGACATTGTAGAAATTTAACTCCTAATTCTACTCCCGAAGTCGAAAATAATCCAAGCAAACCTCCTACGAGGCACACATCAATTTCAAGCTCAGATGTTACATGTGATCCAATCACTTTCAATGGGTCACGTAATCCAGTAATTCTTCCACTTCTTATTGTACCAATTCCTGTACCAAACGTAAATGGTATGAATGTGGAAAATCTAAACACCAGTGTTGTGGGTTGCTTAAATATGAATTTAATTCGCACAAGCGCTCTTTCAGCTCTTCGTACTCTTTCAACACAAATTTCTCCTAATCCGAATGTCCAGGTGAGATAAAAATTATTTGGTGCTTATTATTCCAACGTCCTACCATAAAATAAATAATCAAAAGTCTAAGGATACACAAGGTTGTAGTGACAAAAGAAATGGGAACTCATCCTAATTCGTATTAAATGTTCCAATTTGTCTTACGGCACTGTTTTCCAGTTCAACTTGGTAATCAGTTTCAAGTTCATCTATTGAGCCTTGTAGTTTACAGTCGATGACCTAAACGATATAATTGTTTCACAAATTTTGTATTAGCAGATGCGTTGTAGTGGTTTCGTTTTTATTAGTCGTGCGCTGTAAAGTTTATCTGGGGAGTCTCATCAGTGCTGACGGTCTGGTGACTGACGAAATCTCAGCTCGGATACAGAAAGCTCGATTGGCTTTTGCCAACCTGCGTCACTTATGGCGTAGGCGTGATATCCGTTCGCTAACCAAAGGGCGGGTGTACTGCGCAGCAGTTCGTTCCGTTCTCTTATATGGCTGTGAAACATGGCCGTTAAGAGTAGAAGATGTTCGTAGGTTACTAGTATTCGATCATAGATGTTTAAGAAGCATTGCTCGTATATCGTGGGACAACCGAGTAAGCAATGCTGTCGTTAGGAAACTCGTCCTAGGTAAGAATGGCAGATCAATAGATGAAGTGGTGAAACTTCATCAGTTGAGGTGGTTGGGACATGTGTTACGTATGCCTAACCACCGACTGCCTCGACGAGCTATGTTTTGTGGTGTAGGAGTAACTTGGAAGAAAGTTAGGGGCGGCCAGACCAAAACATGGCAGAAATCCATGAAGTCATTGACAAGTGGACTGAGTCATGTTGGTAGATGTAGACTACCTGGTTGGGGTCCGCGAGACGAAAGTCATCAATGGTTAGAGACCTTGAACGACATGGCTCAAAATCGTTTGCAATGGCGCAGGTGCATCCACTCTTTGAGCTCTCTCAAATCCTAATCTGGATTAGCCAGCACCTCTACCTCAGTCTTTCTAACCTTATCTCACTGAATTATATACTTCTTGAATTATATCTTCGAACCCTAGTCTTCTTTATTAACATTAATACCGCTACTATCTTTATCACTATGGGATTTGATTTGACGTTTGCGTCTCTGTGCTAATAATGTGGTATGGCAACATGAACTTATGTACATACGTATGAAGTTCTACGTTGCAACTGACTGACTGACTGACTGCGCTGTAAAGTTACTCGGGGTTTTAGAGTCTACTTATCTATATTACAGACGATTTCGCACTCTCAGTATTATGTGCTTACTTACTGTCACGGTGTTTCCACTAGATGTCAGCTATCTTTCGTAAACAACGGTAGTGAAGCACAAGCCCGCTGAATATCCTCAGACCTGGAGATTCATGTTTCACAAACAGTAAGACTATAAACGTGCTCGTTATGCGTCTGTTGATCTCATCTGTTATGTCTTCTCTCAAATACACAATGTTCTCTCCGACTTTCTAACTGCTCACTACAGGCCCCTTCCTACCAGTCTTGCAGAAGTACTCGGCATTTTCTAACTACAAAGTACACGCTGTACTTACAGACACAAGTAAAGTCTAGATGAACTATTGTTGTATGGCAAGTAGTCATTCGAGTAGTGAAGATTGAGAAGTCTTTCTGTAAAAATATATCCTCGTCATCCTCATTTTACTTCGGAGTTTTTTCCAGAATATCATTGACAGGGAACGTAGAGGCCAACAATCAGATTATATAACTGTGTGACCCCACTGCTGAACTGGAATAATATTGAGAGGTTATAGATCGTTACTATGCCGTAAGTGTTTATATAGCGAACTTTCAAAATACTAATGAACTTCCCAGATACGTTCTTTCTTAACAGACTTACAGAATACAGTCTTATTTGACGAATAAAGGGTAGCTCTAAAATCAAGAAACTATGATTGTTGGTCTGCAAAGTGTGTGGTAACGTTCAAGCATTCGTTAGGGGTCGAAGATATGATCATATATCCAAAGTCTAGACGGAAACTAGCCTGCCTCTTGCGAACCATGTTTTCGGCAATCTCAGTGGACTAAACACACGTACTGCTTTAGCTGGCAATCCGTCTTGTTCCTCTTCTGTACAATTCGTAGTTTATCTTGCCTACATCCCCAGTTTCTGACGAAGTATCATCAGTGGTGGGATCTTTGTTTGCTATCTCGATATCTAAAGGGTTCAGCAGTGCTAGTTTATTCACTAGCTCTTCAAAGTGTTCTGTGCACCCGTTCATTATCTTGATTCTATCGTGGGATACTCCTTTGTAGTGCGGACTGGTCACTCTGTCATAATATATCTCCCTGCAATGATATTGATTGTACTATTTAGTTCTCCTGTTTTCCCTTTTCTTGTAGCTTTTTCTGCTATGTGCCTTGACATCTGGCTGTTATTAACTGCTCCCTTGTTTTACCTTTCTTAAATCGTAGCCAGGCTCTCTACATAGATCTATTCTTTATTTTGATGCAGTACCTCCTGTAGTGTCAGTTATCGCTTTTCAGTACCTTCCGGTACTCTTCTAATAGATCTCGTAAACCTTGGAAGCTGTTTCCGAGAGCTATACTGAACTTGTTGGTATCTTGAAGAGAGGCTGTATAAGGCCTTTATAGTGCTGCTTGCCCAATTTGTAAGTGCTTCAGTTTCGCGTAATCATTACCGAATATAAAGGAATATCAGCTCTTCATACATCTTCCTTTAATGAACCTACTGAATTTTTATTTAACATATGTAATTTGTTTTCTGTAATATGGTCCGATAAAACCTATATAACCTTGCGTCTGAATTTGTAGAGGGAACTATCACTACCTGTAACCTTATTATTGAAGGCACATACATCTCCCATTCACCATTTCGTCCCCTTCTTCCATTCTGTTTCTCCATAATGCATATATCGGTGTCGTCCATCTTGTCACTCAGGTTCTCAAGCATTTCTCCAGTGTACTGTGGCCTCTTATAAAACCGGTATTGACTGTCTTCACCACCATCTTTTATAGATGTATTATATTGATTGAAATTGATTTTAACCCTTTCTGTTTTTTCTTTGAAGGATTGTTTGGTGATCATAGAACCACGAGTTTATCATAGGCACTTTTCCTGCCACTTCGAACCGTCAGTGTGTATGGGATACCGTGACAGAAATACAACTTTTCTGAGACCAGTCTCTTGTATTTAGTGCGTTTTATTTATCTTAAGGACGGCTAAGTTGTATCTTCGTGTATCCGGATGACCTAACAAGTTCTCAACATTGCCTGGGTGCATTAACCGTATGGTTTCGAAAGGCTTGGCTCTTACTATAATAAGTTGTAACTCTCATACTTAAACCTTTCAACTCCCAGGATAGTAAAGTTAATTTACTCAGGTTACCGAATTTTTAATGCAGTTGTTTCAGAAAGTGAGGTCGCTAGCCAAGTGCCGAACTCATTTACCAAGGCTTGAGACTGGCATCAACCTTAGACAGTGCTAAGTATAAATTTTCAAATTCAAATGTTTCAGTCATTTTAATTAATCCGCTTTAATATAGTTAATTTCCGTATATCTTTTCCTACATTAAGGTTAATCTATCTGAATCAGTAATAAATTCGAGCGATACGTTGGTAGTTTTGAAACCGAATCTAGAAAATTTATGCAGTACTGACTCAGTCCCTGAAAGTAATCTTTCTTTGGAGGCGTCAACACAAACAGAACAGTCATATACACCGATCACTGTATCACAACCATGCTCTAATACTCTTCAAACACATGAACTTGTATCTGTGAACACATGCACTGATGAGGATGATATCAGTTCATTCATTGGTGGTCTCTTCTGTAATGCTGAGGTAGAAGCCAACTTTTCCCAGTCAAGCACAGTAGATGGTAAGTTTTGATCATTAAAAATGGTTCGCTAAGATAATTAGAATTCGTCCTCATAATTAAAAATATTGATAGTATCCAAATGTTATGCTCTTAAAAATTTTCAGTGTTACGTTCTGACCCTGTTTCAGTCAGTGAGTTGCAATATAGAACTACGTACATCAGTTCAGGTTGCTATACCACATTATCACAGAGATGTCATTGTCAACTCAAATCCCATAGTAGTATAGGTATTAGAAATATTAGCAGTAGTCGGAGAGATATTCATGAAGTATAATACAGTAGAATAACTTCAAAAAAGAGAAAGATGAAGGTGGTGAGGAATTCAGAAGATTACAATTTGAAGGAACACAAAGTATGGATGAACCTGAGCCAATGTAAACGATTTTAAGCTATGTCATTCAAGTTCTCTAACCATCGGTGACTTTCGCATCGCGAGCCCCAACCAGGTAGTCTACACATACCACCATAAAACATAACTCTTTGAGGCAGTCGGTGGTTGTGCATACGCAACACATGCCCCAACCACGTCAACTGATGAAGTTTCTCTACTTCATCTATTGATCTGCTATCCGTACCTAGTACTCGTCTCCTAACAACAACATTGCTTACTCGGTTGTCACAGGATACACGAGCAATGCTTCGACTAATAATAACAATGATATTATTAATAGCCTAAGAATATGCTCTACTCTTACTGGCGATGTATGACAGCCATAAAGGAGGACGGAGAGAACAACTGCGCAGTAGACTTATCCTTTGGTTAGCGAACGGATATCTCGCCTGCGACACGAGTGACGCAAGTTGGCAAAAGCCAATCGAGCCTTCTGTATCCGTGTTGAGATTTCGTCAGACACCAGGCCATCAGCATTGATGAGGCTCCCAAGATAAGTAAAGCGGTCAACACGTTCAACTGCTTCACTCCCCGTCACTAGTTCGGGTGCCGACTCAAGCCAATCGTGAAGCAAAATTTTGCGCTTCGAGGGGCAGAACTGCATTAGGAATATGCTTACATTGTTGCTTAGTGTAGTCAGAAGACTCGACATTTCGTCAGCGTCTTCACCAAATAGAACTGCGTCATCGGCATACTCAAATTCAACAAGCGAGTCTTCTGGTATTATGTTCATCCCTGTAAGGTCGAAGTAAGATAATGTATTCTTTGAAAGCATGTCTATCATAAAGTTAAACACGAACGAGAGTTGCTATCGCTGATGAACACCACTTAAAGTATTGAATGCTGATGACAGTTCGATATAAGCTTTCACTCGGCCGTTGGTGTTGAAGTGGAGAGTCTTTTATGGTTAATGTACTTCTTTGGTGCACCTTTCAATGACAGACCCAGCCACAGAGTCGAATGCCGTCCTAACTTCAAGGAATACAACTATTTGGATGCCGTAGTATGTCTCTATGTTTCTAGGACCTGTCAAAGTGTGAATATATGGTCTGTACAGCTGCGTCCAGTCCTGAATCTAGCCTCGTTTTCTCGAGTCTCCTCTTGACAAGCCATAGTTAGGCGTCAAAGTCAGTCAGTCAGTCAGCTGCAACGTAGAACTTCGTACGTAAGTACATCAGTTCATGTCGCCATACCACATCAGCACAGAGATATAATTGTCAATTCAAATCCAATAGTAGAAGAGGTAGTAAAGGTATTAGAAGTAATCGGAGAGGTTAGGACTAGAAGATATTATTCAGGAAGTATGATTCAGTGAGAAAAGTTTAGAAAGTCAAAACTAGAGGGGTTGGAGAATCCAGAAGATTAGGATTTGAGAGAACACAAGGAACAAATGCACCGGCGCCATTGCGAACGATTTTCAGTCATGTCAGTCAAGGTCTCTAACCATCGATTATTATCATCTCGCGGACCCCAACCAGGTAGTCGAGAATTACCGACATGGCTAAGTCCACCCGTCAATGACTTCATGGATTTCTGCCATACTTTGGTCTGGCCGCCCCTAGCTTTCTTCCAACCTACTCCTACACTGCAAAACGAAGCTCTTCGAGGCAGTCGGTGGTTAGGCATACGCAACACATGTCCCAACCACCTCAACTGATGAAGTTTCATTATTTCATTTATTGATCTGTCATTCTTACCTAGCACCCGATTCCTAATAACAGCGTTGCTCACTCGATGACAGTTCGCCATAAGCTCTCACTCGACCAGTGTTGTTGGAGTAGATAGCTTGTATAAGGTTAATGTACTTCTCTGGTACACCTTTCAATGACAGACACTGCCACAGAACCTCACGATCCACTGAGTCAAATGCCGCTTTTAGGTCCAGGAACACAACTATTGTAGGACGCCTAAATGTGTGTCTGTGTTCCAGGACCTGTCGTAGTGTGAAGATGTGGTCTATATAGCCACGTCCAGGGCTGAAACCAGACTGGTTTTCTCTATTCTGCCACCAGTGAGTAGTAAACGACGTATTATTAATACAGCACTAACACTGCAAGCAGCAAACAAGTCCGACCTAAAAACATACGGAAAGCAAAAAATAACTTTAGATTATCGTCGAAAAATTTCGCTTCGATGGGAGTTTGTTATTGCAGATTTATCAGTACCTATAATCGGTATTGATTTCTTAAAGAATTTCTACTTATTAATAGATTCTCTATGAAACCAACTCTTGAACAGAGACCGTACAGTGGTGATGAACGGAATGGTCACTGATCACGTATCTATGAATTTAGTTGTGTAAAGAGACAAAAACGATCCATTTAAATCGCTTCTAAACGAGTATGTCTTACCATAAGAACTGATCTAAAACATACAGTGCAACATCACATTGTAACAAGAGGCGCACCTTGTAACGCACGGCCACGATGCGTAGACCCAAAAAGGTTAAACATCGCGAAACAGGAATTTTACAGAATGATGAAATTTGGTATAATACGGCCATCAAGTAGTCCCTAGGCATCGCCGTTGCATATGGTACAGAAAAAGAATGTACAGTACAGACCAAGTGGAGATTATAGATCTCTTAATAAACAAACCCTTGCTGATAGATATCCAGTGCCACATATCCACGACATTACTAATGACATGGAAGGTGCCACTATCTTTTCGAAGATTGACCTTAGAGCTTATTACCATATTCCCGTGGCGCAGGAGGATATACCGAAAACGGCCGTGATCACTCCATTAGGATTATTCGGATTTTTGCGAATGCCATTGTGATCAACTAATGCAGCTCAAACCTTCCAGAGGTTCATCGACCACGTTGTTGGAGGTTTGTCAGGCGTATATGTATACTTCGACGATTTACTTTTAACGAGTGCTACAGCAGAAGGACGACTCCTTGGGCTAATTAACTACTATAGACGATTCATTCCGAATTGCGCAACAATATTGCAACCGCTAACAGACGCTTTGCGAGGACGTGCCCGAACATTTCACTTGTCAGCAGACGCTGTGCAGGCATTCGAGAACGCTAAATGCGTACTAAATGAGAAGACAATTTTGGTACGACGAAAAAACGAAGCTCCATTAGCCATCATGACTGACGCGTCGAACATCGCTGTTGGAGCCGTGTTACAGCAGTTTGTAAACGACACATGGGAACCAATTTCATTCTTTCCAAAGAGAATAAGTCCCACGCAAACGAGATACAGTACGTTCAGAAGAGAACTGCTAGCAATTTATTTGGCAATAAAGCATTTTCAACATATGCTTGATGGTACCGTTTTTACAGTGTACACAGACCATAAACCCCTCGCGAAAGCAGTAAACTCCAAACACACCTATTCGCCAAGGGAAATTCGACAATTGGAATTTATTTCCCAATTTACGTCCAGCATACAATATATTAAAGGTCATAATAACAAAGTAGCAGATGCGTTATCATGAACGATGATTAACGCTGTCATCCAGTCTGACATTGATTATTACAAACTTGCAGTGTTGCAAAATATGGATGTTGAGCTAAGTAGACTAAGATCATCCAATACAAGTTCTTTAGTACTCCGAGAAACTCCATTCGGCAAGGTAAACATAATGTGTAATATTTCTACAGACCGACCACGACCGTTTATTCCGAAGCCGTTTAGACGAAAAGTTTTCGAAACTATGCATAATATATCACATCCTGGAATTAAGGCCACGATCAGTCTGATCAGCGAGCGGTTTGTATGGCCAGGTATGAACCAAGATGTTCGTAACTGGACGCAGGCATGCATAAAATGCCAGAAAGTTGACATTCATCGTCACACAAATTCCGCAGTGGGTCCTTTCCGTCACCCAGACAGCCGATTCAAGCAAATACATATAGATATTGTGGGACTACTCTGCCAATTTCACATGGCTTCAGTTATATATTTACCTGTATCGACAGATTCACCCATAAAAGATATTTCAGCAGAGATTATAGCTAAAACCTTAGTTGAGCATTGGATCTCATATTATGGGGTGCCTACTAATAGCACAACCGACAGAGGAGCCCAATTCGAAAGTCGCCTCTTTCAACAACTCACGGAACTCCTCGGCATTAAACGTTTACGCACAACGTCCTACCATCCGATGGCGAATGGTATGGTAGAGAGATTACACCGTCAACTTAAAACCTCTCTTACAAGCGTTGTTAACAACAATGGCTGGGCCAACAAGCTTCCATTAGTCATTTTGAGTCTAAGATCGACAGTTAAACGAGACAGGATGTTGTCCTGCAGAATTAGTTTATGGAACTACCCTACGTCTACCAGCAGAGTTGTTCATCTCAGGTAAGTGTTCCAACTGATATTGTCTAAAAGAACACATGAGTGATCCTAGAATAACGCTTCCGAAGAAAGATAAACATCGGGTATATATTCCGAAACAACTGAACGACAGTATCCGTGTATTTATCAGAAGAGATAATGTGCAACGTCCCTTACAACCGACCTACCATGGTCCATTTAAAGTAATTAGAAGGAACGATAAAACTATCACGGTTGATAAAGCTGGGAAAAGGGATGTAGTTAGCGTCGACTGAATCAAACCAGCTTTTGTTGAAAGTGACGAACAGCTGATAAGTATAAATCCTTCGAAAGCCATCGGATCACTGGAATGCGAGCTCCAAAAACCAGCGACAGCGGTGCAGAAAAGTGAAGGAAGTCCAGCAACGACCAGATGTGGACGAAGAGTCAGGTGGTCGCAAAGATATGTAGCTACGATTTTCAAATTGATAAATTCTTTCGCCATCTCGAATATAATTTTTTCTTCGCTTCGCATTTTTACATCGAAAATTTTTGTGTATTTCGATTTTTGATCTTCTGTTATTATTCAAGCTCACAAACGCACACTAACTCAAACTTGCGCACACACGATAACCTTATCTTTCGTAAAGTTTTGGTATTTCGAAATAGTTTTTTTTCGAAAACACAGACACTTTTGTATCCTTGTTTGCTAGGGTCAACCTTCTCTAACACCCTTCTTCCTGGTGAGAAGGAAGCATCGCTGCAGATACTGGTTGTCCGTTGTCACACCCTTTTTTTCAGTTCGCCTTCGCCCTCAGACCTTAAGTTTCTGTTTTAACTCTTACTGTTCTACAGTCCACCTGCCCCGCATTGTAGGACCTAATGGGACATATGTTCTAATCATTAAAGCTCGGCTGTAACCTCACGATGGGCAAGCTCGACCACTATGTCAAGCTAGCAGCTATTATCGGGTTAACCGTGTTTATTCATTTTTGTCCTCATTTCTAAGCTGTGTACTTGTTATAAAGACCGACTTATTCAGAGCACTTTTTCCCAGTGTAATAAAGTTTGGACTGAAAGTTTTTAGTGACATTCTCAATCGGGGTAGTGATGTGTTGTTTGATAAGTTAATACTCTCTTATTCTATCGTTTTGGTAAACTTTAAAGCTTTTGCTCATTTTTATGCGTCTTCAATTTTTAGATAACTATGACATTAAAGAAGAAAAAATGTTAAGTGGGGGCAAACTGATCACCTTGGATTCTCTCAATAAACATCACTCTTGTTCATCAGTAAAGTCAGCCGAGAATTCCATTCAGGTGAATGAATATACCTCTCTTACTGGGTGCTTAAATAGTGGGGTGGATCAGGAAATTCAAGCTATGTTACTACCATTGCGTGAAAATGCTGCAATGCAAACCGATGTTGTGGAAAAATTAAATGCTGAAGTCGCCACTCACTACCCTCATGTCGATCGTAGTACATATTTTACTCCAAGCAGAATGCTTGAAACACCACCTCCTCCTATGCTACAAAGTACTGTTTCACTTGGAACTCATTTAAGTACTGCATGCCAGACTTTACATCGCTTTTTGGATGAAGCAAAAGTTTCTGACGGTCAACCCCCTCGTAAGTGCTCATATTACATTTTAAAAAACCGTGGGTACTGCTATCCGTGGTCATACTTCCAATCCTAACCATATCTTTACTCTGACTTTTGTTACCTATTTTTCAACATCCTGGTTTATGTTAATAATTGTCTCATTATCTTCTTATTTCAAGACAGCGACATCAGTGAATTTACATATCCACTAGTTCCCATAAGTCTGTGATTGTCTGCTCCTCTGATAATACTAACAGCGTTTGTGTTTACATTAATTTCTGAATGAATAATTTTATTGTTTGATAAAATCTCTATTTGTATTTTCTACTTTTATTTCCACTTTGGTAGTGGGCGATTTTGTGTCCACATGAAGTTGTACTACCAAAAACTGATTTTTGCGAAATTAACAAATTTGTAACGTGACTAAGTGAAATAGACCCTCAAGTTTACGGCTTCTGTTACGATAACTTGTTTTTTATTGTGGAACCACCTTGGTAGCTGTTAACGTGCCACTGGTGAAAAAAATAGATTACTCTCAGGATGATCACTTAGAGATCGTTTGTCTCAATCCTTTAGACCTTACATTCAATCCATAAGACTTCGTGAAACTAGTGTTGAAGTCTATATGACTGTTAGGTGGTCATGATGGGTTAGCTAGACAGCTGTTGAAACTCACGTCAGCTATTTATGATTTTGTACCACGTAACTTTAATATTTGGAAATGTTGTTAAACGACTGGTAATGGAATTCTGAAATTATTTCAGTTTAATAGAATGCCTAAGATATAATAATAATAATTCACTATCTACCGCATAAAAATCCAGCTATTTGTATGCAAGTCTTCATCATTTTGATGTTATGTACCCCATATAGTCTGTTAACTACTTCTTACTGCTTAGTCCTATATTTTTGTTATCTTCATATCTAGTTTAATGTTGACGGTCTGTATGATCAATCCGCTGACTGTATTTAAATTCGTTGCCATGCAAAATATCTTGAACGTCAACAGCTTATTTTTTGCTCACTTATCTACTGAGGCTTTATTGAATATCCGAGCATCTACTATCAGCTAATTGAGCTGCCAGATACTAATCATAAACGTATGTGAACAGAGGTAGTAGCTGAGGTCAGGTATGGAAAATATAATTAATTATTTTGAATCTAAAATGTTTTCCATTGATAGAGAAAAGTTTGTTTCATGGAAATTTCTAGGCATACATACTGTAGAATGTTTACTGTCTTATATTAACTGTTTCCTCTGTCACATGCTTAGATGTATTGTTTCGTATTCTGGGTTACAATCTCATGTGTTTTAATTTTGATCTCATTTCGCTTGTTGCTTTTAAAGTTATAGAGACATTAAACATGGATACAACAAGTGACACTGGTACTCAAGGCTGTGCTAATGTACCAAATTACCCTGGATATGATTCACCTAGTTCAACAGATCCAGTGTTACAATGCCTTCCATCATCTACGTCTATCGATTCTTCTGTGCAAACTAATACTGTTCCAACTTCCTGTGATAATTCACAGTATTGCAATTTAAACACTGTGGAAACGACAACACATGACTGGTCAGCCAGCGTAGACTTCACTCACAATGAAACTCAAACAATTGATGAAGACATAGAATTATGGTTGAATAGTGTTGAAACACAAACAAATATAGCGTTATTTGATCCCAGTTTCTTCTCAGATATATGTGTTGGAGTGGATAATAACTTCTTCCAATCTTAGTTCATTTTACAAAAAATGGCTTGTTTTATCCAGTCAAGATTCCTGTTATCACCTCATATTTGTACCATTTATATCACTTGGGCTAGCTTGATTTCATAGATTTCGTAACATCTCTATCTACCATATCTGTGCACACAACGGATATTAATACATATCTTTGACGCATTCACCATAATAATTTACCTATTTTGTATATTGCTCAAACAAAGTTTATAGCCTTTTTTTACTGGTCTACCGTAAATTTTTGTTTTTTTCGTTATGCTTTTATTATTTTGTATCTAGAAAATTCATACATTCATGTCAGCCTACAGCTCACAAAACGAAACTGTTTTACTTCTTTATATATTGTTTTTTGTTGACATGTTACTAACATGTTTGTTCACTTATTCCTTTCCCGACCGTAGCTGTTACCTTGACGTGGTGGTCGGGCTTGTCTATCGTGATGACCCAACCGAGCTATACTGGCTGGAACATATGTTCCTGCAGGTCCTACCATGCCAGGCTGGTCGATTGGCGAACGATGAGACTAAAAGCAGCTACCCAAGGTCTGAGGGCGAAGTCGTACTGCTGACTGCAGAGGGGTGTGACAGCAGTAAGGTGTTTCCCTCGGACAACCAGCATCTGCAGCGATGCTGTCTTCTCACAAGGAAGGAAGGGGTTAGAAAAGGTCGAACCTTAAAATGTCACACCTCACCCTACCTCACGGATTTCCTTCTCCGGCGGTAAGGGTTCCCACTGAGGGCCTTTAAGAACGGAGCTAATCCTCAAAAATCCTTTCACAAAAAGGCCGTGCGTGACCGGCCTCAAGCAGTTGTCCCTTGGACTCTGCGGTCACGCACCCAGGTCTCCAGGACCAACATTAATCTATCTTCCTATTCAGGTCCCTCAAGAAACAACCTTCCACGGTGTAGGCAGCCGGGAAGTGACAACCGCCCTCATACCCATAACAGCACGAGAGACCGAATTGGTCAAAATCAAATCCTTCCTACACCCACACATACCTCTCTTCTCTCCACAACGAACTCTACTCACATTCCCTTACCTGACTGCACCGCTAATGCAAACGATGCGAGTTCACGAAACACCACTCCTGATCTCTTGAAATCCCGCTCTAGACTACATGTTGGAGCCTACGCAACAACTGTGAACGGTGGCGGGTGGCGAAAGAGAGAGAGATGGAAAAGGCAGCGGAAGTAGGCAACTATTCAGACTCATCAACGAAACTGGTATTAGGAATCCTAGTGTCAGTGAGACTATCTCAGAAAATGACGGGACTATTATTTATTCTCAATCCAGGAGATTGGATCGATGGGCAGAACACTTTAGGGATCAGTTCAACTGGCCTCGAGCCACTCTTCAGTTACCCACGATCTCCAGTCATCCTGAATGGCAAGTCGACGTAAGTCCCCCTAGTCTTAATGACGTTAGGAAATCTGAAGCGAAGACGAGCTGCAGGTTCTAATAGACTGACCCCTGAGATATTTAAGGATGGTGGTCCAGTTCTAGCAGCTAGGTTGACTGAGATCTTAGGTAGAATCTGGGAACTGGACGTAATCCCATCCGACTGGTCTCAATCACTGATTGTCCCAATCTATAAGAAAGGACAAAAGTCTTCTTGTGACATTCACAGGGGAATCAGTCTAACTAATATAGTATCTAAAATTTTGGCCTCAATAATACTTCGACGCTTAAGGAAAGCTCGTGAAGAGCAAACTCGAGAAAACCAGGTTGGTTTTCGACCTGGACGTGGCTGTATAGACCACATCTTCACACTACGACAGGTCCTGGAACACAGACACACATTTAGGCGTCCTACAATAGTTGTGTTCCTGGACCTAAAAGCGGCATTTGACTCAGTGGATCGTGAGGTTCTGTGGCAGTGTCTGTCATTGAAAGGTGTACCAGAGAAGTACATTAACCTTATACAAGCCCTCTACTCCAACAACACTGGTCGAGTGAGAGCTTACAAACACATCTTGAACGACAGTAAACGACGCTGTAGCCGTTGCTACCCAATAAAATTAAATACTCGTCCATAATAAGTAGTAGTAACTAATAGTAGTAGTAGTAGTAACTAGTAGTAACTAATATTATTCAAAACATGGTCCATTGTACACTCAACGCTCGACTACTTCACTCCCTATCACTAGTTCAGGTGCCGATGAAACCCATTCTTGAAGCCACATTTTGCATTTCGAGGGGGAAAACTGTATCCCGAACATGCTTGCATTGTTGCTTATGGTAGTCAGAAGACTGCATTTTGTCAGCGTCTTCACCAAGTAGGACTATGTCATCGGCATATTCTAAGTCAATAAGCGAGCCACCTGTTAAAAGGTCTGCTCCTGAAAATTCAGACGAGGATGAGGTTATTTCTAGGAGCATGTCTATGATAAAATCAAACAAAAATGGAGAGAGTGGACATCGTGGATGGACACCACTTGAAGTAAACACTTCCGATGACAGTTCGCCATAAGCTCTCACTCGACCAGTGTTGTTGGAGTAGAGGGCTTGTATAAGGTTAATGTACTTCTCTGGTACACCTTTCAATGACAGACACTGCCACAGAACCTCACGATCCACTGAGTCAAATGCCGCTTTTAGGTCCAGGAACACAACTATTGTAGGACGCCTAAATGTGTGTCTGTGTTCCAGGACCTGTCGTAGTGTGAAGATGTGGTCTATACAGCCACGTCCAGGTCGAAAACCAACCTGGTTTTCTCGAGTTTGCTCTTCACGAGCTTTCCTTAAGCGTCGAAGTATTATTGAGGCCAAAATTTTAGATACTATATTAGTTAGACTGATTCCCCTGTGAATGTCACAAGAAGACTTTTGTCCTTTCTTATAGATTGGGACAATCAGTGATTGAGACCAGTCGGATGGGATTACGTCCAGTTCCCAGATTCTACCTAAGATCTCAGTCAACCTAGCTGCTAGAACTGGACCACCATCCTTAAATATCTCAGGGGTCAGTCTATTAGAACCTGCAGCTCGTCTTCGCTTCAGATTTCCTAACGTCATTAAGACTAGGGGGACTTACGTCGACTTGCCATTCAGGATGACTGGAGATCGTGGGTAACTGAAGAGTGGCTCGAGGCCAGTTGAACTGATCCCTAAAGTGTTCTGCCCATCGATCCAATCTCCTGGATTGAGAATAAATAATAGTCCCGTCATTTTCTGAGATAGTCTCACTGACACTAGGATTCCTAATACCAGTTTCGTTGATGAGTCTGAATAGTTGCCTACTTCCGCTGCCTTTTCCATCTCTCTCTCTTTCGCCACCCGCCACCGTTCACAGTTGTTGCGTAGGCTCCAACATGTAGTCTAGAGCGGGATTTCAAGAGATCAGGAGTGGTGTTTCGTGAACTCGCATCGTTTGCATTAGCGGTGCAGTCAGGTAAGGGAATGTGAGTAGAGTTCGTTGTGGAGAGAAGAGAGGTATGTGTGGGTGTAGGAAGGATTTGATTTTGACCAATTCGGTCTCTCGTGCTGTTATGGGTATGAGGGCGGTTGTCACTTCCCGGCTGCCTACACCGTGGAAGGTTGTTTCTTGAGGGACCTGAATAGGAAGATAGATTAATGTTGGTCCTGGAGACCTGGGTGCGTGACCGCAGAGTCCAAGGGACAACTGCTTGAGGCCGGTCACGCACGGCCTTTTTGTGAAAGGATTTTTGAGGATTAGCTCCGTTCTTAAAGGCCCTCAGTGGGAACCCTTACCGCCGGAGAAGGAAATCCGTGAGGTAGGGTGAGGTGTGACATTTTAAGGTTCGACCTTTTCTAACCCCTTCCTTCCTTGTGAGAAGACAGCATCGCTGCAGATGCTGGTTGTCCGAGGGAAACACCTTACTGCTGTCACACCCCTCTGCAGTCAGCAGTACGACTTCGCCCTCAGACCTTGGGTAGCTGCTTTTAGTCTCATCGTTCGCCAATCGACCAGCCTGGCATGGTAGGACCTGCAGGAACATATGTTCCAGCCAGTATAGCTCGGTTGGGTCATCACGATAGACAAGCCCGACCACCACGTCAAGGTAGCAGCTATGATCGGGCAGGCAGGTCGGTTGGAGAATGGTATGACTACCAGCAACAATGTTAGATGCGAAGTCGTGCTTCTGACTGTGGGGGAGTGTGATAGTTGTAAGGTGTTTCCCTTGGACAACCAGCATCCGTAGCGATGTTGCCACAGCATAACGATAGGGTCTAGAAATCGTTGACTCTAGGTATGTCATACCCTATCCCACGAATTTCCATCGACGGCAGTTGCGGTTTATGAAGTGTAGAGGTAACATCAAAAGCTTGCCATAAAACGACCATGCGCGACTAACCTGAGATAGTTGTCCTTTGGGTTTTGCTGTTACGATCTTAGGTCACCTTTCCTGATTCCTCTTCTGGTCTCTCAATAAGAAAAGCCTTTCGCCAATCTGAGATGAAAGTACAAAGATAAATGAAGCGGTCCACGTATTCACTCTTTATCATTAATTAAGGCGCCTATGCAGGCATTTGACAGTCCGAAGGGAAGAATCGAATCCTCAAAATGCAATTTCTCTCAGGATGCTTGAATACAGAACCCGCACATGGTTAATGTACTTCTTGGGTACACGTTTCCATGACAAAAACTGCCAAAGAACCTCACCAATACAGTCAAAAGCCACATTCATATCAAGGAATACAACAGTTGTCAGACGTAGGAAAGCGTCTCTGTTTTAGGAACTGTCGGAACATGAATAATTTATCCATACATCCACGTCCAGTACAATCCAGACTCCTTTTCACGAACTCTTTTTAGGCGTCGAATTATTATGGAGTCTGATATTTTAGACACTAGTTAAACTGACTGAGTGAGACCAGTCAGATGGGATAATATACAGTTCCCAGATTCTACCTAAGGTTAACTTCCAAAACGGAACCACCATTCTTAAAAAATGCAGTGATTAATCCATCACGGACTGCTTCTCTACCTCACCTTAGATTGCCTATAGCATTTTCAACCTCATTAAGAATAGGAT